CACCATGTAGCAGGTCTGTTCTGTACAATATAAACAGTTAAATATTTGGTGCTATAGATATAATGATGAATCATGGGATTTTGGAATTAAAAAAATGTTAATTACTTTAATCTGACATATTCCCACACCTACAAACTGATCTGTACAGCAAGACAGTCAGTCTCTCACATGAGGGTCAACAGTTTGGGCATAAAGCTGACTGGTACTTGTCTGAATTTGTGCAATGACAGATGATTACTTCATTTATTCTGTGCTCAAACAAGCTGATTTGTCCCTCATAGTGTATCTTATAACAACTTTTAATTCAATTAATAATATTGTTATTATTGTTTGTCATTATTGATTATTTAGAGTACTTTTTACTAGGTACCCCAGGCTCTCCAGGGTACTCTATGGAGGCAACTAAGAATCTACTTGTAGAAATGGATCCACTTATCTGTGAGTACAACACAATGTCCTAATTGGCTCTCAATCTGCAATGAATTTAAAAACAAGCTTTATTTGTTGTTTAGTATTCTTGAATTATCAATTTATTTCAATTCTCACACTGTAGGCTGTTATGGTATAAAAACATAATAAAATGTTACTTTTCTGCATGAGGGCAGTATATACAATTTCCCTGTCTTTATCTTTTTAGTGTCCAACACCGGTCTACATAGACGTCAGTTGAATGACACATTAGCTTCTAATATCAAAATGAAATCATCCAGTTTTATTGTATCATCTGACAATAAATTTATCATGGCATGTGGATATTGGGATAAGAGCTTTCGAGTATTCTACACTGACACTGGTAAGTTGTATTTTATAGCAGTGGGACATGATTCTATAGGCATCTGAGACATGATTCTATGGGCATCTGAGACATGATTCTATGGGCATCTGAGACATGATTCTATGGGTATCTGAGACATGATTGTATGAGTATCTGAGACGAGATTCTATGGCATCTGAGACATGATTCTATGGGCGTCTGAGACATGATTCTATGGGCATCTGAGACATGATTCTATGGGCATCTGAGACATGATTCTATGGGCATCTGAGACATAATTCTATAGGCATCTGAGACATGATTCTATGGGCATCTGAGACATGATTCTATGGGCATCTGAGACGAGATTCTATGGCATCTGAGACATGATTCTATGGGCGTCTGGGACATGATTCTATGGGCATCTGAGACAAGATTCTATGGCTTCTGAGACATGATTCTATGGGTATCTGAGACAAGATTCTATTGGCATCTGAGACAAGATTCTATGGCATCTGAGACAAGATTCTATGGCATCTGAGACATGATTCTATGGCATCTGAGACATTCTATGGGCATCTGAGACATGATTCTATGGGCATCTGAGACATGATTCTATAGGCATCTGAGACATGATTCTATGGGCATCTGAGACATGATTCTATGGGCATCTGAGACATGATTCTATGGGTATCTGAGACATGATTGTATGGGTATCTGAGACATGATTCTATGGGTATCTGAGACATGATTCTATGGGTATCTGAGACATGATTCTATAGGCATCTGAGACATGATTCTATGGACATCTGAGACATGATTCTATGGGCATCTGAGACGAGATTCTATGGCATCTGAGACGAGATTCTATGGGCGTCTGAGACATGATTCTATGGGCATCTGAGACATGATTCTATGGGCATCTGAGACAAGATTCTATGGCTTCTGAGACATGATTCTATGGGCATCTGAGACATGATTCTATGGGCATCTGAGACCTGATTCTATGGGCATCTGAGACAAGATTCTATGGGCATCTGAGACAAGATTCTATGGCATCTGAGACATCTGAGACATGATTCTATGGGCATCTGAGACATGATTCTATGGGCATCTGAGACAGGATTCTATGGGTATCTGAGACATGATTTTATTTGTATCTGAGACATGATTCTATAGGCATCTGAGACATGATTCTATGGGCATCTGAGACATGATTCTATTGGCATCTGAGACGAGATTCTATGGCATCTGAGACGAGATTCTATGGGCGTCTGAGACATGATTCTATGGGCATCTGAGACATGATTCTATGGGCATCTGAGACAAGATTCTATGGCTTCTGAGACATGATTCTATGGGCATCTGAGACATGATTCTATG